GTTTGGCCAGGAAGCTGAAAAGAAAGGGGGGTCCGGGGGTTCTCCCCCGGAACGTCACACTGGAATTGACTCGGTAGAAATAGTCTAGTCGTCATTGCCATGCAGACACGATATAATTACTGTAAAACGTCTTAGCTACTAGTTATAGCTAGAGGGTAGCCAGGCATTCCCTGCGCAGCCCCTCCTCCGTCGACCCGGTAGCCACCAAGACCCTGCGTCCCGAGTCATCCTCCGTCCACTTCAACGGGCCCTCGGGCAAGACGGCTTTCTCCTCGCCGAGCAGGAGACGCAAGTCGGGATCCAGATCCGGGGGCATGCCATGGGTCACGGGCAAGGCGCCGCCAAACTGCTGGGGAATGTTGGCGTGGTCGATGATCGTCTCGAGGGCGGGGTAGACCTGGCTGTCATTCAGGAAGACCATTTTATCGGCGGTGACGGGATCGATGAAGTTCTTGACGATGGCCCAGACGGTACTGAAGTAGACGGGGGCATTGCAGACCTGGCTGCATTAGCATCTATTCTCCCATTGATTGACTGGAAGAACCAGTCCCTCCCCTCCAGAAGCTACATAATGGCCGGAACCTACATAAATCGTCTCAATGGTCTCGGGATAACACGTGGCGAGCGTCCCGCTGATCTCCTTGGCAAAGTCCCGGACATTCCATCCCTGCTTGATGGTGATCGCCTTCATGTCGATGAGAAAGATGCTTTTGGTGATGGGCTGCGCGGCGGCGGCGGTGCACAGCGGCAGCACGAAGCGGGTCAACGCGTCGAGGACGGCACAGGCCCGTTGCGCCAGATCGGGCCCGGCCTCGACACTGCGTGTGCTGCGCCAGCGGGTCAGGGCGGCGGGGTGGAGGTTGGCGACGTCGAGGAAGACGAGGGGCCGGCCGTGAGTGTCGCGACGGCCGATCCAGTTGGGATACTGTTGCGTTTGGTGTCAGCTGAAGCCCCATTCGGAGAGCCTGCAGAGGGGGAAGGGGTACCAGTTGGCGAGTGGCTTCGTAGTCCTGGATGGAGATGGTGTCGTAGATGTGTGCGAGGTTCTTGTCGCGGCGAAAGTGAATGGCCGCCTCGAATTGCTGCAGGGCGCTGCTGGGATCGAGTTGACGGGCTTGGAGGAAGCGGCTGTTGGGTGATTCAGTAGAGTCCATATGATTCTAAATATGAAGAGCACAGACAGTAAGGTCAGGTCGTCCGTCAGGCCATCGACCACATCGCCCTCCTGCAACCCCTGGGGTCGGTCCAGCAGCCCTTGTTCGGCGCAACGAGCCTTGAAGCTGGCCAGGACCGCAGCAGACGCGGTGTTGGACTCGAGACACACCATGACGAGCAGAGAAGTGACAGGATACCAGAGACGGGAGACCCGGGAGGAGGGAGATGGAACCGGTTGGAGGAGGTGTGCGAAGGAACCAGGATTCAAGAGTCATGGGCGAGTCATGGACCCCTTGAAAAGGAAAGATGGCGGTCTGTGGACGGTTGGAATGGCCGGTATGCAGGGTTATCTCAGCCATGCATGCATGACTGACGAGTTACACCGTAATTAGTGGGATTGACTTGGCTGAACTGCAGTTCATGCAGATCGGCGATCTTATCCGTCCAGATGGGCTGTGGGGGGGTGTGAGTGGTCTGTGGTGGTCTGTGGTGGTCTGTGGTGGTCTGTGGTGGTCTGTGAGTGGTGGTCGATAAGAGATCCGCGGTCTTCACGAACTGGAAGTGCAATGTTTGACTTTAAACCAAGTTGTATACTTCTGTCTGTATGACATCAAGAATGGTTCGCAACGCCAGCAACTCCAGGTGGAGCCGCGGTGGAGCCTCACATCACCGCGACGCAACCATGGTTGACGCGGTGTCAATGGACGCTCAACATCTCGAAAGTAACCTTCATCGGACCCTGTTTTCGCTCGCAGATCGCTCGAGCCCGAGATCCTAGTGTCTCCGATAGTGGGGCGGAGGAGGCCGGTCGAGTTAGGGCTGGGGAGTTGATGACGGGATGGGGGGAGAAAAGAGACCTATAAGGCTACTGTACGGTTCTCTCATCTACTCGAAAGAACCATCAAACACACTCATCCATACACACAATAATGGAATGCATCGCATCTTTCCCTGAAGAAGACCAATTTTCTCGGCTCGTGGCCCGCGAGACCCCCGACCTCCACGGCTTCTGCCATGGATACCCATTGCGACGCCACCAATGGGAACACCGGGCCAACGAGGGATCGCTGCATCTGCGCGCCGATTGGGAGAAGTACATCGGCCCCATTGAGCGATGGGGATCGTGCAATCCGTGGGAGGGCCACTTTGGCGCGGTCGTGCTGCCCTGCTGCCGGCCGGAGCGAATGGCGATCGTGAACTACATCTTCGAATGTACGTCCTCGCGGCAAGAGGGACTGGAACACGACTGACGAGATAGACGCCTTCATGTACGACAACGTGGTGGAATCCGCGGCCAACTCCACCGTGAGTCCATCCTTACCTACAGTATCTACCCTCCACAGGCCGACTAAACCCTTCCCGCAGATCAACGCCCACGCCGACGAGATCGCGCTGGACGAGACCGAATACCGCACCGTGCGCTCCGTCACCGGCACCAAACAGGTGCAGTCGAAAATGCTGGTCGAGCTCTTCGCCATCGACCCCGCCTGCGCCCAGGTGGTGCTGGACGCGTGGAAGACGATGATCGACACGACGGCGACCAAGGACAAGACCCGCGCTTTCAGCGACTGGGAGGAGTACGTGGACTACCGCATCATCGACACAGGCGCGCCGTGAGTACCACTAGACTACCAGACCACCACGGCTGGGACGGCACTAACGCGCGCAGGTTCGTCGACATGCTGATGCGCTTTGGCATGGGGGTGGTGCTCACCCCGGCGGAGCAGGCCAGCATCGAGACGGTGGTGCGACCGTGCTATGCGGCGCTGGGGCTGGCGAACGACTACTTCTCATTCGACGTGGAGTGGGAGGAGTTTCAGCAGTCGGAGGAGACGACGATGACGAACGCCGTGTGGTTGTGCATGCACTGGCACGGGGTGGACGTGCCCACCGCGAAGGAGATGGTGCGTGAAGTGACAAACCGATTCGAGCGGGAGTTCCAGCAGCGCGTGGCGGAGTACGTGGCCGGAGAGGGTCAGCACAATCGCAAGGTCCAGATTTATCTGCGGGCTCTGGGGTATCAGATCCCGGGCAATGTGGCCTGGAGTCTGCGATGTCCGCGCTATCATCCACATCTGATCCAGGAGGCTGGGAAACTCCTTCACGACAGCATGCAGGCCGCCAGTGACGGTCCCAGTGCCCCCGTGCGCGAGCAGAAGCGCCCCAGTATCTCCGAGGAGAGCGAGTCGAGCGAGTCGTCCGTGTGGTCAGTGGCGAACTCGCCTCGCTCGTCCATCTCGTCTGCCTCGGAGCCAGAACCGGAGGTGAAATTAGGGTCCGAGGTATGTTTTTATGACTGATCCCCCACATCCCCACATCCACACATACTGACAACGTAGTATCTCCGCGCGCCGGCAGAGTACATCGCCTCGCTGCCGTCGAAAGGCGTGCGCGAGGCGTTCATCGACGCGCTGAACGTGTGGCTCATGCTGCCCGACCGCCAGGTGAAGCTGCTCAAGTCGATCGCCAAGACGCTGCACAATGCCTCGTTGATGTATGTCGATACCCCATCCCTCCAATTCTGATATATAGTAAACTCATCCACGCAGGCTGGACGACATCGAGGACGCCTCCCCGCTGCGTCGCGGCCAGCCCGCCACCCACACGGTGTATGGGATCGCCCAGACGATCAACTCGGCCAACCACCTCCTCCTGCAGGCCATGGACGAAGTGCGGCAGTTGGAGGGGTCGGGATGCCTGGATATCTACTCGGAGGAGCTGCGCAATTTGTTTATTGGGCAAAGCTGGGACCTGTATTGGACCCGACAGGGGGAGTGTCCCAGCGAGCCGGAATATATGGAGATGGTGCGCCAGAGTAGGTCTACTTCCTATACATCACGCCTCTCCTCCAGGACCCCCAGGGCTGGTTCCCACTAACCACTCACCAACAGAAACAGGCGGCCTCTTCCGCCTCCTCGCACGCTTAATGCTCGCCCAAGCCCCAGCGCAACGCAATCGGTACGTCCTCCTTCTCCCTCCCTCCTTAAAAACCCCCCTCAAACACACCATACTAAGGCCTCGACAGCGATATCCCCCTCTCCCCACTCGTCACCCGACTAGGCGAATACTTTCAAATCCGAGATGACTACAAGAACCTAACCGAAGAGGTACGCTGCCAGCCCCTTCGCCCCAACCCCTCACCATGCCCTAGATTGCCACCCAGACTCACCCAGTACCCTGCAGTACACCAGCCAAAAAGGCTTCTGCGAAGACCTGGACGAAGGCAAGTTCTCCTTCCCACTGATCCACCTCCTGCACGCGCAACCCGACAATAAGCATCTGCGGGAGGTGCTGCAACTGGGAAGCCCCCGCCGCACGATCAGCATTGCACAGAAGCAGGAGGTGGTGGGGCTGTTGCAGCGCAGTGGGAGTATGGAGTATACGGGTCGGACGCTGCGGGCGATCATGGGGGAGATTCAGCGGGGGATGGACCGGGTGGAGCTGGAGACGGGGTGCGTGAATTGGGTGTTGCGGTTCTTGGTCTCCAAATTGGAGGTGTGATGGTTGATACTATTTGTGACTTAAGATGTACGTGCGTGCTTTGTTGTATATGTTGCTTAGATTTACATGACTAGTAGTAATGATAGGGGAGACTGCTCGGTTTCGAATACTAGGATATAGGACTGAATTTGGCCAGGAAGCTGAAAGAAAAGGGGGGTCCGGGGGTTCTCCCCCGGGAAAGTTATAAGAAATAGGATATAGGGCTGAATTCAGCTGGGAAGCTGAAAGAAAAGGGATAGGATGGATGGATGGATGGATGGATGTATTGTAGTGTATGCAATCTATATGATCACATGATATATGCAATCTATATGATCACATGATATATGCAATCTATATGATCACATGATATACTCCTCCGGCCACTAAAACAAAGGGCCGGTTATGTGTCCGCCCGGCCACTTCGAATTTCGCCGGCAGTTCTTTCCCCCACACTCTTTCTCCCTTCCTCTCATCGATGATGCCACCACCCTGAGTACCTACGAGTAGTCCTAGGCAGTGGACATCGTCATCCAGTCAGATCCAGGTCTGGTCTATGCCTTCGTTATAAGAAACGGGAGAATGGGCTTGCAGTCGCAATGACACCTAGCAGTTCAGGCCCTGCAGCTCTACCCTCGCCTGCCCACCCACCCGTGGCGCCCTCGGCCTGCGAGGCATGCAGAAGGCTCAAGGTCGGTCGAAACAGTTCCCATAACCCAGCTCCCACTCACTCACACTGCGAATCCAGATGCGCTGCACACGGGAAACCGCCCCTGTCAGCGGCCCCTGTGATCGCTGCGCGCGCAACCATCGGTCGTGTGTGATTCCCCCGGCGCGGCCTCTGGGACGCCGACCGGGGGCGGTGGGCCGCTTTCAAGGCATCGAAAAAGCATACCGCAAAATTCAGGCAGAAATGCGTAAGCGTCCTGCTGCTGCCTCACGGCCTCAGGCTCCCACAATCAACCACCCCCCGTCCACAAGCCTGGCCGATGAGCCTGCGGTCGGCCAGCCATCCCAGCCGATCAGTAACCCCCTGGCTCTGCTGGCAGATGCCTCGGAGGTGTTTCATGCCAGCACTTCGTCCCAGCCACAAGAGAGCACGTATGATGCCAAAGGAAGCGATCTGCTGTCGAGGTCGGGATGTGTCTCGTTGGGTCTCCAGCTCAGTCGCGAGACGCTCGAGACGGGCTTGGATGCCCTCATGGCTTGGTCGCCCAGGCTGGGGAAGAGCTTGGATTATTTCAGGCAGCCGGATCCCGCTATGTTTCGTGACGTGGGGCCGGACCTGGATCCGGTGGATTTGGGATTGGTCACTATGGAAGAAGCCCATCTGCTGTTCCCGAGGTCAGTAGGTCAGCGTCCTCGGTGAATCTGACCGGACTGACTTTTGTAGGTACTTTGCTCGGTTACACCCGGTCAATGGGATCTTGGATCCTCGACTGCATACCCCGGAATATGTCCGGTCGCAATCGGCGCTGCTCTTCACCTGGATCCTGGCTCTTACGGCACAGTTTGACAGCACCCAGGCCTCGTTGGCAACACGTCTGAGACTCCATGGAGAGAAGCTATCACGACACGTGCACACCTGTGGGCTAAAGTCGGTCGAGATTGTGCAAGGATATTACATCTCCTTGCTCTCCGCGACACCAGCAAAGTCATTGGCCGAGGAAAGGACGGGGCTCTACACCATGTACGCCTTTGGAATGGCTGCTGAGCTGGGGCTGGACCAGCAGTCACGGTCGCGCGGAAATGTCTGTATAATGGACAGTGAAGAACCACCCATACATGCGGGCGCTGGTTCTCAGACGCTGGACCAGGGCGGGCACCTTTTACGCAGCGCCGAATGGGAAGACATTTCAATCACATATCGGCAACGATGCAGCAGGAACAGAGAACGAACCTGGTTTCGGATACTCCTGTGGGAACGAGCCAACAGCGCTGCGCGTGGACACATAAATCCTTTTCCGAACACGAAGCTCATCGCGGGCATCGAAACCTGGTGGCCGCATCCCTTAGCGGACGCCACCGACAAGCATACATGTGCGTTCATCGTACTGCGCCGCCATCTCGCGTCATTACATGCCGAATTGCAGACACGGGCTATCGCTCCCCCGGATGATCCGCACTGGATGAGAAAGATGGTGGACGAGAGGCTGGCGGAATGGTGCGACGTCTGGCTGCCGGTGCCATACCAGGCGGCAGAACCGTCAGAGCAACTAGCCACAATCTTTCTCTACTATGTGTACCTGCACAATCGGCTCTGGATCCTATCCTTTGCTCTGCAGGCGTCGGAGAGCGACAATGGACAGATGGAAGCCATCCGACAGGATTGCCTGCAGGCGGCCGTGCATATCTGCGAGGTCACAGTGCGCGACTTGCAGATGGTGGGCGAACCGCTCTACTGTATGCTTGCGCCGACATGGGCCATGATCTCTTACGCTGCGGTGTTGGCTTTAGAGCTCTTCCCCCAAGTGCATGGGGCTCAGCCGGGCAAGGATGCCGAGCTGCTGGCACTGCTGTCGCAACTTGCTCTACAGCTGGTTCGCGCCGGGACGACGCCGTCGCATCGCTTTGGTCTGGCCGCCCTGCTGGGAGAGCACCTTATGGGGATCTTACGGACCCAGGCAGCTTCGGTTCGCGGTGGGCAGCGTGGTAGGATGGAGGACTCGCTAGCCAGACTTAACCCCGAAATTTCTGCCGCGACCTCCGAGGGTACCATGACTGCATATAAGGTCCCAGATTTGGTCCATAACCCCTGGTACACAGACGCCACAACGGCCATGGCATACGACTGGACGGGGGATACTTTCACTGATCTATTTCGAGAATTATTTGGTCCGGGCTATGCAGACTCTTTTTGAGTGTCTCTTGGTGCCATGATCTAACGCAGTCGACTGCCTCTAAGCTGCCAGTCTATTAAGCACCAACCATCAAGCAACCGAACAGTACAACTGGATTATGCTGGAATGGGTGTATATTGCATCTTTCTGAACGTAGAATTTGTCGGGGGCTTCTGAATACAACACAAGTATTTCAGCCCTGTTTGGATAGCTCCAGCAGCGCCGTGGAATTCTTGATTTCGTTATGGGTAAAGCAGATTCCCATGAATTTGACCATTTCCGCGGCTATCACCATGTGAGCACACACCTCGTGCACGGACTATCAGTTAGTCTTACCTGTCATTCTCTTAGCCGTGGTGTCATTATCGTCCACGCCATTCATGCGCGTATACTGCAGCACCAGGTCGATCCGCGACCGACGGGCCTCTTCGTACAAGGCCAAGCGGGCCGGGAGATCTTCCATGCGCGTGCCAGCGGGCAGTAGCACCGCAAGGGAAACTGCATCCTCAATGGCCATGGCGCCACCTTGTCCCATGTCTTCTTGTCATTAGCGTGATGCGATGGGAGAGGAGAGGGAGGAGGGTCGTCTCACGCACAAGGCTGGAATGGGTGAGCAGCATCTCCGAGCAATGCTGACCGGCCGCGGACCCACGTCGGGAGGGCATTCATATCGAATAGCTCCCATACTTTGAGAGTGTCGTCGGCCCTGTTTACGAGTTCTTTGACTGCGGGTGCGAAAGCTGAAAAGCCGGACATAAGAGCATCTTTGCTGCCGGTCGCCTGCCAGCCTATTGCCCATTTCAGAATGGGGTTACATCGAAGACAGCCACAATGCTTACCTTCGCCCAGTCCCCCAGCCTCCCTGGTAGGGAGGAAGGCGCACAGATTAAACACTCGGTTGTTGGAGCAAGGATATGCGACTAAGCGTCGATCATCTCTCGCCCATTCGATAAAAACGCCGGGCTCCTGAACCATGTCTTTCGTGGACGGCAATCGGCGCAAGTCGTCTGTGGAAAGAAGCCAGCGGAAGCAGGACTTGCCCGCTGGGAACGGGGGTGGTGGATGCTGTCCGATCGTCTCGCGTACGATGGACTGTCGGCGCGATTAGATTGTCTCATGACGGTGGGGTTCACGACTTACGTGGAGGCCATCGGCACCCAGCAGCAGATCGCCCTCGAACCTTTCTCCGTTGTCCAGAGTGATTGAGGGGCGCTCCCTGTCGACGTCGATGCTAACAATCTTGCAGCCCATGTGCAGGGTCGCTGTTTCCAGCGCCCGCTGCTTGAGGTGATTGTGCAGGTCGACTCGATGGACAAGGTACCATTCCTGAGGAAATGAGTCCGGTCCTCAAGGAGTGACGATGCTCAGCTTACTGCTTGCCACATCTGGCGAATGCCACTGAAATCTTTCTTATACTTGAGGTTGCCAAGGTGATCATAGCGATGAATCTAGTGCGACTTGAGCATTGATCCCTCATATTGAAGCCTAAGCCACATCTTAGGAAGACTATCAGTACCTGTTCCAAAAGCGTGCCACCAAAATCCTTCGGGTCAATTCCGAGCCAGTTGAGCAACGCGGTACAGTTCGGAGGCACATGGATGGCAGCACCGGCTTCGCGAGAGAACTTGGACTTTTCCACAATCTGCGGGAGTCAACACATACGCCACAGGGGCTTGCGACCGTGGGGGGATCGAACGCACCACAACATCATGGCCCTGCTTGCCGAGTGCAATGGCGGCGGTTAGCCCTGCAAGTCCGGCGCCGATGATCAGAACCTGCAATGGTCGGGGTTCCTGGTTTGTGACGGTCATTGTGACTTGCTGCCCGGTGAGCTTCGATATGAGCCTGTTGTCTGCCTGTGGTTCTCGCCTACTCGCTGCGACATTTTAACATGTATCGCGAGCGACGATCCCTGTCTCGGAGATCCGAGGCTCGGGCAATTGACTCGGAGATAAGTACGGCATCCGCCGGATCCTGGTGGGCTCATCGAAGGCTTGGAGATGTCGATCATCGTTTGGTTGGAGGCAGTCCTGGTGTGCATGAGACGGCTGTCTTGTCTCCAGGACAAGGGCTTTGTGCCATAGGCTAGAGCGGCACATCCATACTTATAAAGGAGGATTCTATACATGGCTCCTATCTCTCGACTACGACTGTGGGTGATAAGTGTGGATCACAAAGCCAACTACCCAGCCCTTCAGCGATCAGTTATATTTCAGCTACAGGAATTCTCCTACCGGCACTCGGCCCGGTCCGTCGGAATGCTCGGAATCAGACCCCGCTTATGCGTCTGCCAGTTGTTTCTACGCTTGTTGACATTTCCAACCATGAGTCACCCAGAAAGAATAACCATGTGTTGAGCTGATAAGATGAAGACGGTGGTGATTTGTACCACACTAGCTTCTCCAATACGTTGCCCACTTGCTCTGCCCTGTGACCACATTCACAAACTCACGCGCAATTATGCGGTCTGTCTGCTCCGAGGGATGCAGGTCGTTCCACCACATGTAGCTGTCCCGGATGGTACTCGAGCTGCAGGCGCTGCCACACCGATAGATGGAGCTGGTGACATTCAACGGCGCGGTTCCATTCAGATACTGGGAGGGGTTCTCCCAGATATCGGTCGTCTATGTCCATGAGTCAGTATGCACCGTCCCCCGCGGCACTTCCCCCACCACCGGGCCGTCCTTACCAAGGCGTGGGTATCATAGATGGCAAAGCTACTCTTCGGATACCGCTGAGCGATCCGCACCTCGTACGGCGTCTGGTAGGCGAAGACCGCGTTCACCAGCGTCGAATACTGGCGCATCTTCTCGCTCGACTGCGTGATGTTGGCGTCATACGCGGACTTGTCTGTCCAGTACTCGCCCGTGGGCAGGCCCCTGTTTGCCGGGGTGGCGTATTCCGGCGCCAGCTCGAGGGCGATGAGGTTCATCAGCACAAAGTTTCGCGCGCCGGCCGCGTACAACCGGTCGAGCTGCGTGTACACGCAGTCGGTGAAGTAGGTCAGCGCCATGCCGGGGGGCTGCACCTCGGTAAGGAAGCTGCCTGGGCCCAGGTCGTTAGTGCCGATCCAGATCGCGTAGACGGTCTCGTCGGGCTGGTTGAGGAGGGCTTTCTGATGCGTGGTCGTGTTGACGTACGCGCGATCGGCGAGGAAGGCAGGCAGCTGGTCTTGTTTCACTCCGTTGCGTGGGCTGTTGGCCTCCACGGAGTCGCAGACGGCCCCGGCGACGGCGTAGTCGTACAGGTTGACACCCGTGTATTGCTGGACATAGCTCGGCCAGGCGCGCCCGCCGTCCCATTCGTCTGTCGACTATGGTGGCTGTCAGATATGGTTTGGATGATGGGAATTGGGGCGGCAACTAAAAGAGTACCTCGGCCGCCACCGGCGGGGTGTATGAATAGACGCCATCGTCAGTGTAGCTGTCCCCGAAGATCACCAGCGACGAGAATTTCTGGAGGAGTGCCTGCGATCGCCGTGTCGGTGCGCACACCGCGCTGCTGGTCGTGAGTGCCAGGACAAGCGCACCAAGTGCAGCCTTCATTGCTGGACAGGTGTGCAGAAGTACGGGAGAATTAGTTCGGTGCAGTCATGGTTGTGGATGGTGCGTGCACCGGTGATATTTCTACCTGACCAGGCCTGCAGACTCCGGAGAAATATCCTCGGCCATTTGCAGACACGGTCCCGATTGGGAGCCTCGATAGTTGGTGGAATCCTTGGAGGCCAAATAGGCTGAGTGATGGTCGGCTGGCATGTCAAGTTCTGTGCCCTAACGAACAACCATCGCAGATTGCGGGGTACCAAGGCCTCATTTAGCCGGAGTCCTACCTCCGCTCAAGCTCTTGCAGCAGTTGGAGCAGTGATGTTCCAATTGGTGGAATTTTCCTTAAAACAAGAACTGCAATATTGTTTACCACAGGAAGTGCTCCGATGCGGTCATCCTCGGTCGACAATCGGAAATTCTGCCATTTCATTGCCGTGGTGCCGTTGCGTTGCGATGAGGCCAAATTGAAGCAACATACGCCTCATTATGCTCAAGACTACCCTCATAAATTTCGTTCTTCAGGTTGTTGGTGCCCGCAGAATATACCATCGCCCCGTCTCCGAACGGCCGGCCGCTACCTGCAGCAATCCAACGGCGAGCCATTCTTCTGGCAGGCGGATACGGCGTGGCTGCTGTTCCATCGGCTCAACTACAGCGCGGCGGAGACCTACCTGTCGGACCGAGCACGCAGGAGATTTACAGTGGGGCTGCTGGCTGTCGGCTTCACGCAGGAGGGAATCGTGACCGGCGAACGACAGGCCCTTCCGTCAGCGCCCCGGGGGCAGCGGCGGACTGGCAGCAACCCCTCATGACCATCCACCCGACCACCCAGTGATTTCCAGCGCACTACGAGCATCGCTACGATCACGGAAAGGTGGGCCTGGCGTACTGGCACGCCAGCGACGTGCGCATCGGCCGCTGGCCGGCGGTCCATCATCTCTTTTTCTTCGGCAGTATCCCCCAGGACGGTAACAGACTGACCAGATCCCCCGCCGACGCAGGTCTTCTCCGACGCCACCGGCCTCCCTTGCAGCGCCAACATGGTCCAACCAAGAACTATCCCGGGGGTATACGCTTCAGACGGCATGCTGCCGGGATCGGGTCCGATGCAGTGGGTGCAGGAAGCGGTGATGGACCGGGGTAGGACATGATGGTTCGAACCAGTGGGTAGGGGGTTGTTGAGTTTGTTGACTGTGGAGAGGGGAACACGTGGATTGGATGCTGGTGTTGGTGGAAGACAGTGGTTCGTTAGTTGTGGGAAATTGCTGTGTGGCTGCTGTACCCGAAGGATATATTCATGATGGAACATGGATATACACGGAGTATAGTTAAGTATGGATAGGCAGCCACGTACCCCCTTCACCGCCACCCGCGGTTTGCTGCCCGTCAAACCGCGGATGTGCCTGAAAAATCTGAGGGCTGAGTCATTCTGCCGGATCAAACGAGTTACCGCCTTGGCCCCAGAACAAGGTTGACTTTTCTGCGGAGAGGTCCGATTGGCTGGACGGGTGGCGTGTGTGTGGCTTTTTCTTGTCCCGTCCAGGAAATGAGATTCGCTTTTCAGGTTCCAACCAACAAAAATAGATCCCTCGCTAAGACATGTCTTGCCAGTTGTCCCGTACTGACGAAGTGTAATATGGAGTACGTACACAGTACTAGCATGGAGGGGTCGAGATGACTGCCTCTGGCTTACTCTGTAATTTACTGGCACTATGACCAGAACTGTACTTATTGTACTTGTGTACTGTGTACTACCGACTGGTGATGGCACGAGTGCCCGACACGTGATCTTGGGGCCCATGCACCCCTGCCTCCCCCTCTCCTTCTCCCCTGATCTAGTGCCAATTCCATACTCCGTCCTTAGTTGCCAATAGTTGGCCTAATTATAATTCGATCGAGGAGTAGAGGAGAGGAGATGAGCGTGGTCTAGAAGGTGGTGAAGATGCTGTTGATCCA